GAATAGAAACCAGAGTAATACAGAATGACTTTATCACTTCTTTCATTTATGTATTCTTTTTCTTTTCCGATCTTGCAATTAACTTGGCAAAAATGATCTCAGTCAGGATTGAAAAGAAGAGTCCAAAAAGTCATGTTTAATATTTACTAGTATTAACCTTTAAATAAAAGGTTTAAAAATACACAAGTTGGATAGCTGGAGTGCTCAAAACACCAAAAAAAAATTTTATATATTTTATATAGTTATATTTTTTACTATTTATAATTACCTATATCTACATTTAAGAAATCGATATTCATAGTCGGTTCTTAAATTCATCTTAAGTACAGTCTTAAGATGGTGTCGAATGAGAATGAACTATGAATACTACTAGCCTAAGACTTCTGACAGCTGGACAATACTTTTTATTTTCCTTTTTCAGTGTAAGATTTTAATGAAAATGAACACTCAGAAGCAGAGAAAAGTTTTCAAAATTGTGAATATAATTATATGTTATTATAAGTATAATTATGTTACTACTGTAAGATTAGTACTAAATTAACAATAAATAACATGTACACAGTTTTATCAACCAATATAGTAAACATTGCCATAATAAAAAATTGCCTATAATTGTAGTTACTGTTCTGTAAAAATAATCATAATTACTATAATTTAAACATAATTTATAGTCATTTTTAGAAATAAGGTTGGCTCAAAAATATTATGAGTTATAGTAACTGTAACATTTTTATGATAATAATAACTACAATTATAGTCATTTGTTTATTGTCAACTACATATACATATATTTATTAGAAGAACTACACAGTTCTTATTATTAACAATAATTATCATAATTATAATAACATGTAATTATAGTTTCAAATAATAAAAATTTTTATCATCTGAGATGCTGTGGCCATCCCATTTACTAAAACTTAAAGATTAATATTTATATCTTTCGATTCAAAATAAGTACAATAATAAATTCTCAAGATTCATTTTTTTTCACACGGAAATCTCCCAAGAGAGAACAAGCATATCGCATAAGGCAGTCGCACCGATAAATCTTGGCAGATTCTCGACGCTTAATCTCCGGGAGGAGAACACCAGACATTTCGACGAGCGCTAACTAGCAGCAGATTATGCAAAAATAAACCGTTCATGACACGTGCTCGCTCCTCCTTCCTCCGCGCGTTCACCGAAGAGAATGTGCAGTCTTTGTTTTAAACTGACAAAAGTTACAAAGCGAGATATGCTGGGGGGGGGGGGGGGGGGTATCAATATTTCGTTTAATCAAATGTGTCACTGCGCAATTTCTAATTTAATTCGACTACAGAATTTATCAGTATTCGATCAAAAATATTTTCTGAAGCACGTCATATTCTGCGAGAAATAAATCAGAGCATCACAGATATAGTCGCATATATGGAGCATTATATAGAAGAACTGTCGGTTTGTAGAATAAGGTTAAGGAGGAAATATGGAGTAAGTCATAGAATGAAGATTTAGATGCTATGAAAGGCAATCAATCTTCTAAGGAAATTGTTGGAAGAGAGAGGTGGGGAGTTGAAGAAGAAGGGAGAATAGGCGTAAAGATTCAGGCATAGTATGGAACAATTAATTAGTAGGATATGAAAATAAAGAAAATGCTAAAATTTTGCATGAAAACTGTGCAATAATCAGGTAAATGTAAAAATGTAAAATAGTGTGAAGTATTTGATCAGAAAAGTCGTGAAACTTAGGGTACAAGATAAGAGAATATATAGATTTAAGTGATATCTAATTACTGAGCCTTAATTAGTCATTAATCATACGATATAAATAAATGTATGAGATCAAGGAAAAAATTATAAACCGAATGAGACAATACCACAGTGGTCTAAACTGGATCACGGGTGCTTCTATATAATTGCGTGTGAATTTATATACTACATATGTAATTCTTCGATTGCGCTCCGAAATTGTTTTTAGACTTGAAACGCAACACTAATAAACCACCGCAGTAATATCATGAGTTAAATTGACTAACAATTTAACGATTATTGATGCTGTTACGCATCTTATATCGATCTTAATAATATTGAATAACCTATGAAAAACTGTGAACAATTAATTTTTTATTGCGAAAAATATTACCTCGGCCGAGAGTCAAACCCGGATCTCTGGCATTCCGTGCGAGAAAAAAAATTATAAATCAAGTCGCTTTTTGGTATAAAAGCTAAAATAATGAATATTCTATTTACATGTAATTGCATGTAGATTTATATTTTAACGTACGAAGTAAAATGTAAAATTGAGTCCTGTATGAAGTTAATCATAAAGCGATTATAAAGCGACTTCTATTATAAAATTTTGTAACCTTTGCTTTATTTTTATTTTCAAATTATTTATAAAACATATATGTTAATCCTTTAGAGAAAAAATAAAGAGTAAAAATTTATTTTTACATTTAATGTAATCTCTTGTAGTTTCCTAATAAATCTCATATTTCTTGTATTTCTTGTAATTTTTATCACACATGAAATTTTTACACATATTATTATTGACGTAATTTGTACTATCATTCTAACAAGCTTTTATGACTTTTAGGTCACTAAAAATTATATGTGTATAGTGATAAGTTTATTAAAATAATAAGCCTTTTATCACAATATACTTGTCATGGCCGTTGATTGACGTGTTAATTAACCACAATAATCACGCGTTATCGGAGAGGGATTAAGTTCTGACGCTATCACAAAGGAATTATTATTTCTCAAGCACGATTGAATCCCGACGTCAGCATAATTCGAAGCATTTCTCGAAATATATACGTACGATTCGATTAAGCGGTTTATCTGCGACGGAAATTGAAATGCCGATGATTTATTAAACGCTCCCAATTAATACATTATGTATTGTCAACCGTCAACAGATACACGCGTCATAAGCAGCCTCTTCAAAATGAAATGGAAATCAGACCACATGCAAATAACTGTACATGATTCTGATAAATGGTAATTTAATCTTGCGAAAAATAAATAGGTATACGCAAAATCTCTTGGCACACATGACTGTGATAGAAGAAACATTTCGACAAATTATTACCTGAAATGCTGATCGAAGGTAATTCTGAATGAACGCCATTTCCTCATTTTAATTTTTGATATATGTACATTATGTGCATGAAAGAATACTTTACAATAGGCGAACTACATTTCAGGTAGAGATATATGAAAATATATTATAATAACAATTTTGCTAATATCTATAAATTTAGTTAGATAGATTAGAAAATAATTTTGTTGGACCATATCAAAAGAATTATTCTACAAAATATCGATATAAATTTTAAATCTTATGTATAGTGTCTACATAATTCTTTCACTGTGTTAAAATAAACAACATGACGTCGATTTATACAGGATTATCATAAATTCTTCATATTGAAATACCATAACTTTTCCTTGATTTCTAAATAAAGTTTCATGATTTCTCTTGATTATCAATAATATTTTTAACTTTTTTATATTTTCGTCCTGATTTGGAAAACGTTAAATATTTTATTAAGAGATTCAATTTAACATAACAATGTAAATTACTATTAATGTTACTAACACTGCTTGAATTTTTAGTTGTCAAATTGATAATATTTTAAAACTGCGTAGATATGTCGTACGTATATCAAACTTCTTTGAAGTCGAGAGTTTTAATTTTCCAGAAAATTTTGCAAAATTTTGACTCTTCCAAATATTCTTTCAATTTCCCTGATAATTTCCCAATTTCTGAATTCAGTTTTGTGGCAACTCTGTTATAATCCGTGGTGTCTATATCAACTCAATGGCGATAAATTCACATTACGATGTTAATACTAACAAACGCACAATAAAATTTATATAGACACCGCATGGTGTTCACATCAACCCATGGTATTAAATTCACACGGTAATTTTCAGAGTGTAAGAATCTCAAGCACAATAATATTATATGTAATCGCTGCAACAAAGTTTCGACATTCTAGCAACTAATTTGAGCGTTCTGCATAATTATTTGGATAACTCAACAAAATCATTTTCAGACCTGTACCATGCTAAATTTTTCAATACTTCAACAAAATCGTGTTCTTTCTGTGTACAAGTGGCGAAACAGTGGAAACAATCCTGCGGTCGAAATCAAACGATACATGCGTAATCATCGTTCGGAGAAAACTACGGCTCTGAACACGTGTACGAGAAGGCGACAACAGCTGGTGGTGGCGGTAGCTAGCTCCCGCATCGATGGTGGGGACAAGTAACACGCGTGGCACACACACGGCCGACGGACGTATCAGACTGATAAGGGTACTTTTACTTATGCTCCTCACACCGCGGCCGTGGCGGCGAATAGACGCGCGCTATTTCCGCGAGCGCTACGATATCGCTTCCGTGCCTTGCGAATTACGCGTAATAACGCACAAATATACCTACAGGACACCCCGCAGTCACCATTGCCGGCCTTTCTGCCTTTTCCTCAAGTGATCTGAGAACGAGATTTCTCCTTCTTGAATAAATACGAACGCAAACAGAAAACCGCAATGCCAATTGACAATAAAAGCTTCATGTTTGTGTGCATTAGTTTTAAATGCACTTAATGGCGGAAAATTATTTTAGAATTTAATTTCACAGTTAAGAAACAGTTTAAAAAAGTCTAGCCAATTCAGCGTAGATAAAGAAACTTGAAAGGAATGACGACAGTTCTAAAATGCTTTGAATAATCCGCCATACGTAACGCATAACGACTTTTTACAAGATGGAGTGAACAATAAAAATACAAAACTACCTTTCACTGTTTAATTTTATTTTACTAATCGACCTAATTTTCCTAATTTAAGCGCGAATAATTCATGAATATTTTATAGATTATGTTAATTTGTATGACATTAAGAGAATTGTATGCGCCTTTTGAAGCAAATCGTCTAATCGACGAATAGATAAACGAACAATCCATCAAGAGCACCAAAATTTAAATATTTTAAAAAAGAAAGATTAGTCACTTACCGTTGAGACCATACTTCTCCTGATTCCTTTTGACTTGATCGGGACTTAGTCCCTGATCAGAATCGACGCTGAAGTAATTTATCACTTCTTCCACAGTTTTACAATGGCCGTCCTCCATGGTTACTGCTTCGTAGATGCTTCACCAATGTTATCCTCTCAGTAATGATCGTGTACGTTCATTCACATTAACAATTTCTGAAAGTAAACAGAATTATTTGTTACATAAAACATTCGTTATGCTATACATACTGATAAAATAGTAAAGAAAATAACAGAACAGAGTACAAAAATTACATCGATGTAAATAAATCAAGCGCGAGTAAAAAATAAGAAACAACACAAATTATACAATCAGCGAGCTTTTATAAGTAGTAGGTCATTCGTTCTGAATGAAATGGTTGAAAAATTGAGTAAACTAATGAATGCTGTCGAAGAAACTATTCTAGACACTGTATTTCCATACAGTAATTCATATCGTATTCAAGACTACCGAATGTATTGATATAATATGTACAGTAAGTGTAAAAAGTACCGATATATATATAGGAGATAAAATTTTACTATTTTATTTTACACTTTAAAAATCTTACTATTAATAAAAAGTAAACATTAACTAGCAATTTGTTGACAAAGAATAAAATATGCTGTTTAATACCCAAAATTATTGTCCCTAAAAACACGAGTATTAATTAGTGTGTATTATCCTAAAGATTTTAATTTATATTGAAATGAAAAATTATTTAGACGCACAAAAACTATTCGTACAGTAGAGAAATTTAAATTCTAAGATCAAAAAAATACGCGAAGCTTTTTTTATCAGGAATGTACTCAGCATAAAAAATTACTAATTAATGTTTATTTGTTACACTAATACGTCTTGTTATATAAATTTCCCCTGTGGAAATACTTTTTGCATTCACTGTATATTATTAAATATATTATATAACGTATTTTATATAATATAGATACATATTAATGTTTCAGACATATAATAATGTTCTCAATTGTTCTCAAAATGTCAAGTCACAAGACAAAAAGTGAAGAAAATAATCTTTTTAGAATATTCACAAAATTTGATCTTTCTTTTTAGAATATTTACATATATTAAATTTTTCTATATTAACAATTGCTTCTATAATTATTACTAAATGTAATTGATTTTTTATTGTTAATGCTTAAATATATGCAAATGTAAAAAGTTCAGTTTCAAGGTCTAAGTAAATTTTAAAGTCATATTTTGTAAGACATTTTTGTAAGACATTTATATCATTTCTTGTAAGACACTTTTTAATTATCCAGTTATCTCTAAAATGTCACATTTCACAGATAAAAAATGTCTAATTCACCAGATGTAGATTTCACCGCTTTTTCAACAATTTTTACAAACATAATTCTAATAATATACACATATAACAATTCAAAGAAATAAATTATATTTATATAAACCCAAGAAATTGTACTCCTCTCAACCTATACAAAATTTTCAATAAAGAACATAGACAAATACTCCTAGATATATTCCGCGATATTTTTTTTCTAGAATATAATACTTGCAGTCATATTACACTCAGTTGAAAGGGAATTTTCCGAGGGAAGAAGAGGCTTTGAAGAAGCCAATCTATGTGACGTGTCCTAAGAAAAAACCTACTAAAAATGCGATTTTTTGTGATTGCAGAATCCATTGGGAGTTCGCCACGTAAATTCATCCACGAGTACCACGTAAGTTACAGAAACGAGCGCAGAAAAGCGAGAGCGAGAGAGCGAGAGCGAGAGAGAGCGAGAGAGAGCGAGAGAGAGAGAGAGAGCGAGAGAAAGAGAGAGAGAGAGGTAAATTAAATTTCAACTACCGAAGGTGTCGTCGGGACGCAGGAGACTATCCCACGGTGTTCCGCCTCCGTGTAAAATTACGAAACGCGACGGTAGATTCGCGTGACGGGCCGACGGCGACGACGGCAACGGGGACGACGGAGGAAGCGCGGCGCGCACTCCACCGCGGTTTCGACTCACTGCTCGGAGCGCGACGTGTCCGCGCGACATGCACTCGCACTCGGACTACGGGTATATCCTCGCCGAGGTTTCGTGACTCGCGTTGACGTGCGACGGGCACGACTTGCCCGTTGATGACGACGTGTCAACGGAGAGCGAGAGGAGACGGAGAGTGAGAGAGAAACCAGGCGGGGAGAGGGGGTAGAGAGAAAGAGAGAGAGAGAGAAGAGCGACGAAGGGGGAAAGACAGGGAAGGAAAGAGAAGAGAGAGAGAGAAGAGAGAGAAAATTGTTACGGCCGACGAATATTTAGGTTAGCCGCGCAACGACGGCAGCGGTGGTGGCGACGCGCGTGCTTATCCACGACAGAACTCGCGATGAACTTCACGTTCCACTCTCGGAGTAAACTTGTGTCACACTGTCGCGCGCGCGCGCACGCGAGCCAAGGCAAGGAAAAGGTGGAAAAACGTGACGAAGCGAGATACTAAAGGGAGGATGTGCTGTTGCTGCTACTACCGCTGGCTACTGCTGCTGCTGCCGTTGCTACTTGCGAAACGCTGCACGCGCGAGCTATCACGAGGCGCGGATGCACGGGACGCACGTCATTTTCCCCGGACAATGTGACCAGCGCGAACGACTTGCCAACCTGACCTCCGCTTCCGCGAGACTGACACCGCGAATCAGGCGAATCATCGCGCGATCGCCAGCGCCGCCTAGCGGCGCGTTTCATCGGTGATAGGCGCGCCGTCGCGCGCCACGCCGGATTGCGTTCCCGCGCGAGTCGATGATGGTCCATCGTTTGGTGATTAAACGACCGTCAGATGAACCCACGGTCGTTTCCGGGACACCCGGCATTGCGATAAATACGCTCGCGAGCGCGACGTCCCCCGACGAACGGCGTCGCGATGCCCATCCGCGATGACCAGCGGCGACACGCGTCAAAGCGCGTCTCGCGGATAGCGAGCATGTGGAGCGACGCCATTGGCTAAGTGACGCGTGACGTGATGCGCGGCTATTTTCGGGCTTCTGCTAGGCTATTTCCTTGGCGCGTATTTTAAGACGGCCGTCCGGTGACGGGACCGTCCGCGGCGTGTTTCTCCTTACGTAACCGCGATATCGGTGAGCGACGGGCCGCCGATTGTTGACCGACAATAATTTCGTCCCGATGAATTCTAAAGGATGTATCAAGAGGTCGATCGTACACCTTCAAACGAGGAATATTGTAAAAGTAAATTTACTAGAGTATTTAAAATTTTATTTCATGTAAAAATACACGCTCGACTACCTAGTACATAATAGCTTAAAAAAGTGACTATTCATAGTTAACTTTTATATTTAAGATTGTTTTAATTACAATCTCAAAATTTCATCCAATCAGGAAGCTGTATTAGCATCGTAAGACATTACTTAAAGTAGTTTTAAAATAAGAATGGACTATGAATATCGCCTTAGAATTGAAAATTTGCACCTTCCATATATAAAAATGAATGAAAAATAGTTCAACAAAATTAATATTACATTTAACAATTAGATATTTAACGATCATATAAAACAGTTCAATGAGGTCAACACTTATATTTAATAATGCCATTTTAAAGTTGAAATAAGGTTTTCTTACTTTATCTCAACTTTTTTGAAAAACATATCTACAATTTTTGAAATAATTTTTGACCGAAATTTTAAATTGTGGCTGAACTTTTCGTATTACTTTTTAATACAATAGGAAAATTTATAATTTTTTACATAACTTTATTCATTCTATTAAAAAATGCGTGTATAATACATCCTGAATTCATTTACGAAATGCTTAAGTTAAGCGCGATTCTTCGTGAAATTAAAGCGCGAGAGATCGTAACTTTCCTAAATAGAAATTTAATACTGGAAGGTAGTGGGGTTAATTACTTATTTTAAGTATTAAAAGTACTGTCGTTTATTGCTTTTAATAGTTAAAAAATTATTAAATTTTAGTAATAATAATTTAGTAATAAATTTGCCGTTATTGAATTGGATTTCTGTAAGAGTCGTGATAAACGAAAGAGTTGTGCATGTTGTTTGAAAAAAAATCCTTACAAACTTTTACACTTAAAACAATAAGATAAACATATGGTATATTCGGTATTAAAAAGAAAAAATGGAGAATTTGAGTGCAAAAAGCAAAAAGTGTAAACAACGTAAACAGATCAGAAGTTCCTGACAATACATTTTTTCGCTAGTTCTTTTTTCTCTTCTTTTTTTTTTAATCTATTTCAAATTTCTTACGTATAGCGTGACGTGATTCAGCTGGTTTTTGACTTCGCAACGAAACGAATGGTTCAAATATCTCATTTTTCCAAGAAACTAAATGTTAATACAATCTTAAGCGAACAGTTCGCATTATTAATATCGGCGTGACACACGATGAAATTATTATTTATATCCGCGCGACATAAACAAGTCCGGGGGGCAAGCAACGTTTGCTGGAATAACGAATTACGTCAAAAGTACAAGTTGATAATACAATATAGTAGTCGTAAATTTTTAAAAAGTCGTAAGAAATTGACTAGTCACAATCGATTATTCTTTTTCTATTGTAATTGACTGTAATTGGTCAATTTCTCACGACTTATAACTTTTATCACAACTTCTGAAAACAAGAAAAGATGTATGGATGAGTCCTCCAGTACCAAGATACGCAAAACTCCCTTCAATTGGATTTTTGAAGTTGCTATGAAACTGGAAATTAGGAAAAAGATCAGAGAATTTTGAAAAATTTCCTGCAAAATTAATGGAAAATTTTTTATTTTAAAAGAGTTTAATATATATACATCATATGTACTCAATTTTGGAATACTATCAACTTAAAAATTAAAACAATGTAAGCAATGTCAGCAATATTAATAGTAATTTACATTGTTATATTAAGTTGTTCTCTCATCACAATATTTGATGATTTTTGAAAATATTAAAAAATTTCAAAGTATTATTAAAAATACTAGGAAAAATTATAAAATTCTGTCAGGAAATTGGGCAAAAGTTATGGAATTTAGGATGAGGAATTTATGGTAATTCTGCTTTCAAATTTCTTTTCTTGCTCAAACACGTGATTGAATGCAATTCTAAAATTTAAGTCAAGTTCAAAGATAGATTAAAACAGTCTGACCTTGCATGAAAAAATCTTAATTACGATCATCGGTAATTGTGTCAAATCAACTAAAAACTTAAGCATACATG